TATCCCCCCCCACCCAGGGGGATGGAAGAAGAAAAGTCTATCCAGAAACTTAGAATCACATCATCCCTTTTAGAAACTTAACTACAAATTTTTATGTATTCACATATACTTAAATGCAACAATAACTGTTTTGACATTTGTTTATGCCGTTTGGCAGAATTGGCTGAGGTTCTGTGTCCTCTAGGCATCTTATCAACTGGTAGTAGGTGCTGGCAGCTAGGATCATTCTCCTGAGAATGCCACACACTTCTCACATGTTTCTGTATGCTCCCCAAACATTGACCCAGATCAATTTATGCCAGTTGTGTGTATTATTCTAGATATGTCATTGAAATACTTACTGTGTAAACTGATGTCACATGAGTGGGAAGAGAAAGCAACCTCAAAGAAAACTATTTAAAACATTTTGATAGATTATATGAAGGCAAGCTGGAAATAATACTTGTTGTATGGTGAGGCATGAATACAACAACCATAAGAGACTGGGGGAACGTCATAAAAATCTAAAATTCTGCGCCCTGACTACTTAGTGTCATTAAGTGTTGGTCCCACTTGAACCGAACTGGGATGATAATGTGTATTATTGTTTTGATTTATTTAAGTAAGACATTGTCCTAGCCATAAACTTGGCAATTTGGGTTCCTTTGGTGAATTAAAGTACACCAGGGGAAACCCCGTGTACTGTGGTTAAGTGAGGTGGATCCCACATGGCCAACTGTGGTTTGAATCCCTGCCCTGGGCACATGCATTGTACTCCAGATCTTAATGAGAAGGAAAATGGAAGAAAAAGGACTGTAGCATGACCATGCTCCACTGAGGGGTGCTTTGTCTCCCTCTCTGTGCGAGTGCACACACGTCTGACAATTTAAAAAAAAATAAAAATAGATAAGATCTAAAATAATCAAAGCTTGCTCAGATAGATACAATGTGTCCTTGTCAATTGGCCTGCTCTACGTGGGTACTAGCATTTAAAGAAAGAATGTATGTGTTGGGAGAACTTGGTGGTGGTGGTGACGGGGAGAGGGAGAAAGAGATAGGCCAGGAATGGAAAAATAGAAGAAAAAGTGCCCTAGAGGCAAGTGTTGGTAAGAAGCCACCTGGGCATGGGGACAGAGCCTGTTCAGTCCTGGGGCAGGGGTCTCTTAGACAATGCTTGGGGTTATCATGGCCTCTAAACAACTGAATCCTCAACTAACCTTGATTCTGATTTCATTTTCACTAGCATCCTACTTCTTATCATTTTTCTCTCCAGTTAGCATGCTCAGCTGTAGGGCATGTTGACACAAATGTCTCCAACACTGTGCTGGTTCTCATTGACCTGAAGTAGGTTGTATTTCAGATTGTCTGTAGCTACTACTCTCCCTAAGTACTGAAATTATTTGACATTCATTCCTAAGCAATGACTCTATATGTACTGACAGAATCAGGATCTTAAGAGCCAAACTCTGGACAAGGATCATTTGTTGAAAAAGTGAGAGCTGCTTGGTGGTCAGTCAGCCAGAGCTATTGGGGAGTATCCTGGAGATGCCCACTCTTGAACCCACACTCTGAATTTGCCCAGCCTTGGGTCACATTGGCTGGTTTTTTTTTTTTTTTTTTTTTTCCAGCTACCTGGTCTGGGACTGGAACTACCTAGTTGGGCATGTGGGATTCAACCGCCTTAACCTCTGGGCCATCTGTTGGCCCCCCATTTCTTTCATAAAGGGGGGAAAATAGCCCAGCTTTGGTACAAGTGGTAGAAAACCACTGAAGCTGGGGCCTCATAAGAGGTGAGGGATCATATCCTGGACCAACCTAAACAGACTGGGCACAGTAGTGCTTATTCTGAGCTCACAGGGAGGTGACGGAGCTGGTGACATCGCATTGGAGAGACTGTCAAAAATATTACCCCCCCCCCGCCATAAAAAAGGAAAAAGAAAGTAATGTTCTGTGCTAAATCACCAGAGGAGGGAGGGAAGAGAGAGTACAATGATCTCCTGTCTACTCATTGTAAAATCAGTCTAGCTGGAAAAACCACGCACACACACGCGCCCGGCATGAGTTTTAAGCCACCGGGTCCGGGACACGAACCGCAGTCGACTACGTGGGAGTCCAGCGACATAGCCATTATGCCAACTGGTGGTTCCCACATTGGCTGTTTTGTGGGACACCTTGGCTTGCTGTTCATTGAAGGGGCTAGAATTGAATCAGAGCTAAAATGAGGGTCTAAGTCAGAATGAATGATTAGCAGGCCTTTCCAAAGCTTCTTTACCGAGGCATCTTGGAATTTGCTTACTTAGCCTATATGATTCTTCTAGACATATGCAGCACCCATTCCTGTGGTTATAGGTCTTTAGGAGTTTCGCATTGTTTTAGACCCCTGTTCTCTAGAGCTTTGACTCAGTACACCAAAACCCTCTTGTACTATGAGATGTTAGAGGCATGATCTAACACTCTGAATTAACATGTGCAGTGAACTAAATATCAACAAAAACCCAACCGTCCATGTAGTTGCCAAGGGTGCTTTGGCACTGCCTGAAGTTTGCTTTACATCTTTCAGCACCCATGCTTTTACAAAGAACATACACATCGTGGAGGCTGGCATGCATCATGATAACACGGTTTATAGCACCCGGGTGTCTGCGTGTCTCTCCTTGGCGTGGCGTGTGTGAGCCGCAAAAACACATTGCTCCCAGTCATGGAGACTGGGACCATCAACAGCGAGCAAGTTGACTGGATAATGGCCAAGTCTCCACTTCCCCCCAGCCTGGGTCACCCTTATGTGGCAGGCAATGATATTCTGGAGTTGTCCACAGCCTCTCAGACCCGGCAGTGTGGCCAAACTGAAACATCCTGGGGAAGGGACCTAGGATCCTGTTAACAATTTCCTGTGTATGTTGAGACAACCTGAGAATCATGTTGGAAACTTCAGACAACAAAAAGCCTATAGTACTCACTGCATATTCTGATTTGTTAAATGAAGGCTCTCTCTGAAAACATTGAATTTGCTTTTCTAGGGGAATGTATTTGCCATGCTAGTATTAAGTATAAAAAGCAGTTGATGATCTTCACTGTCATATGTTAGGCATATCTGTGATTTTTTTGATATACAAGAGAAACAGAGAGAGACAGAAAGGAAGAAATCACCCCCTCCCAAGGGGGATGATCATACTACAGTCCCCTCTCCTCCATTCTCCTCCCACAGTTTTGGGCATGAATTTCAAGCTGCTGTGTCTGGGACCCGAACCACGGTTGACTATATGTGAATCAAGCGTCATAATCAATATACCATCTGCTGGTCCCTTGGTGTATTATTATTTATTTTTTTGGAGAGGTTTTTACTATAGGGCGCGTGCGCTCGCCAGACAGACAGAGAGAGACATAGAGACAGGAAGCGAGAAATCACCCCCCAGGGGGGATGGTCACGCTGCAATCCCTTCTCCTCCATTCTCCTCTCAGGATCTTGGGCATGCATGCACATGCGCCTGGCGTGTGCTTTAAGCCACCGGGTCCAGCACGCGAACCACGGTTGACTACGTGGGAGTCCAGCGACATAGCAATTATGTTAACTGTTGGTTCTCTCTTGGTGTATTTTTTTGAAACTTTATTTTGAAATAATTTTACACTTTTGGAAAGATGTGAGAAAATATAAAGAACCTCTGTACAGTTTTCACCCAGATTTTTAACAGTTGTTATTATTTTGTCACATTCGTCATTCCGAATCTCTTCCTGCCCCTTTCTGTCTCTCTTTCCTTCCTTACCTCTTTCTCTCCACCCCACTTCCTCCCTTCCCATCTGTATACATACATACATACACAGATAATACTATCTTTTTTTTTTTTTTTTTAAGGTTTTTGACATAGGGATGTGTGTTCACTGGAGAGAGTGACAGAGAGAGGAGAGAGAGGGAAAGTGAGAAATCAACCTGCCCAGGGGAGGTGACCACACAATCCCTCCTCTTTCATTCTCCTGTCAGGATTTTGAGAACACACAGACACACATGCCTGTCATGATTTTCAAGCTATCACCGGGTCTGGAACTTGAACTGTGGTTGGCCATGTGGAAATCCAGTGCCTTAACCACCACTACCTGCTGGCACCCATAATACTATCTTTTCGCGAACCATTTGTAAGCACAGGATCTCCCCCACCCCCAGACATTTAAGTGTGTGTTTCCTCAGAACAAGATGCTCACAGTGCGTAACACAGTATAATTATGAAAAGCGAGAGCTTTAGTGCAAACACAATGCTATTACCTAGTTTACAGATGTTATTCAGGCTTCACCAGTTGTCTCAGTAATGCCCTTTATTGGAGAAGCTTCTATTTATTCTAGGGTTCAGAGTCCAATATCACACATTTGCATTTAGTTTTCTGGCCCCCTCCGTTTAAAAAATTTTGCTAGAGGACACATGTACTTGCCAGAGAGAGACAACATGAGACAGACAGAGAGAGGGAAAGGAGAATGCATCCCCTTGCTGCAACTCTCCTCCACTCTCCCTCCTTTCAGGATTCAGGCCACCACTGCATCTCTCAAGCCTCCAGTTGGGGACTTCTGTGTGGTCAGCCATGTGGAATCTGGCTCCCTTAATCTCCAAGCTACAGGCTGGCCTTTATGTTCCTTTAAGTGTCTTTTGGCCTTTGTTTTCATGAAATTGACTCTTTCAAAGCGCATAGGCCAGTTATTCCACGAGAATGTCCCTCAGGCTGAGTTTGTACTTGCTTCCTCCTGCTTAGCTGCAGGTGGTCCTCTTGGAAGAATTTGGTCCTTGCCTTTACATTCAGAGGCTGTGAGTCTGCATTCCCATGGCCAGTGTGGCGGCCTCTGTCACTTGGTGATGGCGGTGTCTGCTGGGTTTCTCCACTGTGAGGTTACTGTTTCCCCCTTTGTAATGAGTAAGTACTTTGCGAGGAGATACTTGAAGACTCCGTCATTATCCCGGTCCTGGTCCAATGCCCTGCACTTATTCCACGTGCTCGTGGTCCTGAGAAGGGTGTCTCACCGTGTTTCTTGTTCCCTGCAGTGGTGATCATGTGTGCCGGGGGCGACACCATCCGCAGCATCATGCTGGCAGTGCACCGGCATGGCATGACCAGCGGGGACTACGCCTTCTTCAACATCGAGCTCTTCAACAGCTCTTCCTACGGTAATTCTGCGTCCACTTTCCCCTTCTCTCTGCGAGGTCCAAGCAGTTGTGAGGAAGAGGAAAAGTCCGAGTCTTGTTCACAGATAATGCTACCTGTAAATGCAATTTTGGACACTTGTGATTCTGTACACTCTCACGATCTCTTCTAATTCCTCAATTTATTTTTCCTCCTCTGAGAACTCAGAGCAAAAAGTTACCATGTACTTGTGATGTCAAGTCACCCGACTGGGAGTGGAAATAGCCAACTCCTTCCTTCCGAATGATGGTAAATTCAAGTCCAAAAAACCCTTCACCCAGTGCTTTCCGACTGTTGGTTGCTACCATCATGATGGCTGTCAGAATAAAGGTAGTGAGGGGACCAGCAGGTGGCGTGGTGGCTAAGGTGCTGGACACTCCCATGTGGCCCACAACGTTTCGAGTCCTGGACCTGGTGGCTTGCTTTCTCACTTTCTCTCTCATGCTCTCTGTCTTTCTCTGGTCAAATTAAAATAAATGAATGAATCAATAAAATTAAATAAATAATTCTTTAAAAAAAAGAATAAAGGTAGTGAGATTTGGCAGCATTTTTAATAGGAGTCGATATAATGTATCAATGCAGAATAAAAAGTGTCCAGGTGTGTCACACTTAGCACATGTGTGTACTAAAACCCATTTTAGTAACTGAGTAATAGTTGTATGCTTATAATGTATATTTGTGCAGGGTACACATATGTTTATAATGGACCCTAATATGAAATAAAATAACTATTACTGTAAACTGAGGTAAAAACATTTGAAAGCCATTCCTTCTAGCATTCCTTCCTTCCTTCCAGATTATTGCCCCATAAGCCTCTCCTATCTAGAAGTCAGAGGCCACCAGCATATGGGAATCAAAGCATTTAATTTCTTATGATGGATCTGGGGAAAGTTTCTAAGATTCTTGGGATGGAAGGTTTTTAAGGAGGTCATTAAGTTAACAGGCAAAGTTAACAGACAAAAACCATTTTTGCCCTAAACGTGGTTAGGGATCTCTGGGAAGCAGACACTGAAGGGCTACAGAGCATTATCTCAAACACTGCACCGGCTGCTCCAAGCTGAGCAGTTAGGGGAACTGTGAGTGTGCGTATCACCAACGGCATGTTTATACTGAGCTCCATGTCCCAGTTCTTGCTGACAAGGTCTGGTCAAACAGGATCTGAACCATAAAACATATGCCCCGGTTTCCTGCCTGATAGCGTGGCTGACTTAAGCAGTAGGTTAGTGTGCATATACAGACAATCCAACGCACTTCTCATGGGGATAGAGACAATTTTCCTCTGTAGTGAATAAACTGGAGGTTTGAGACTGGTAGGATCGACGCTCTGTTTTGTCCACCTTGGCTGTCATGATGGTCGTTTCCCTTCTCCTTTACACAAGCAGAGGGGTGGTTTCACTTCTCTGCCCAAGATCGTGATGTATAATTACATTATTAGGTGTAGTTGTGACTTTATTGGGATAGTAGTAGAAATTGGTGAAGATGAAAAACATTTATTTTGAGTTTTGCAAGTTGGCAACTGCAAATATAGACTCTAGAGGTGACGCATCACATGCAAATATGCATCGTAAATGGGCAAGTGTATTTATTTATTTATCTCCAAAGAGCCATTCTATTTAACTTTATTTATTTATTTATTCATTTATTTTGACCAGAGCGACAGAGTGAGAGAAAGACACACACACACACACACACACACACACACACAGAGAGAGAGAGAGAGAGAGAGAGAGAGAAATGTAAGAAAGCAAGCCGCCAGGTCCGGGACTCCAATCGCAGTCGGCCCTGTGGGAGCCCAGCACCCTCAACCACCACACCACCGCTGGTCCCGGGCAAGTATATTTATAATATGCATTCACATGCATTATATCAGGGGTCACTGACCCGCAGGCCACAGATGGTGCCAGTCTGTGGCCTGTTAGGAACTGGGCCACACAGCAGAAGATGAGCCACAGAAGGAGTGATGCTTCATTGGAATTTATGGCTGCTCTGCCTCCTGTCAGGTCAGTGAGGACATTAGATCTCACGGAGCACAAACCCTATTGTAAACTGCACATGGGGTTGCTCCTCTCATTACCCACCCCCATGGGAAAATTGTCTTCAGTAAAGCTGGTTCCTGGTGCCCACACTGTAGATGTATTACGTCTATAGGCGTACTACAATGTTCAGTACGGGAGTTCTTTTCAACCACTGATAAAGCTTGTATTGCTTTTCCCTGTTAATTATAATACACGAGTAACTGTAATTTTGAAAACATAGAAAAGCACAAGGGGAAAAAATGAATGGCCACAATTCTGCTATCCAGGTAGAAGTATATTGATAATCTTTAGAAGTATGTACATTCTGTTTTATAAATTAAATAAACACACATACACACACAAACACACAACTTTTTTGGGTTAAGAATTATTTTATTTAACTTTATTTACTTATTTAGTTCATTTATTTTGACCAGAGAGGAACAGAAAGAGAGAGGGAAAATGAGAAAGCAAGCCACTAGGTCTGAGATTTGAACCGCGGTCAGCCATGTGGGAGCCCAGCGTCCTTAACCACAATGGCACCTGCTGACCCCTGCCCCCCTACATTTTAAGAAAACATTTTTCAATAAGATGATTGCCTATTGATAGTACGGGTACATAATATTTTGTAATGTTTTCAAACATCTTTAATCAGTCTCTTATTTTGAAAAATATGTTTTAAAGAGTTAATTTTATTTATTATCATTATTATATTCCAGTTTTGCTACAGAGCATGTATACTCACCAAAAAGAGACAGAGAGACAGAGAGAGAGAAAGCGAGAAAGCAAGTCATCAAGTTCAGGACTCGAATCACAGTGGGCCGTGTTGAAGTCCAGCGCCTTAACCACCACACCACCTACTGGCCCCAGTTTCTTATTAATACTTATGTTATTCTCCTCTTTGTGATAGTAAGAATGATATTATATTGAGTAGCATTGTGTATGTGCACACATGTTTATTCATTTATTTATACATATACATTATCAGTGAGATAAGTTCCTAGAAGTAGAATTGCTCACCGAAAGGTAATATAATCATTTAAAATTTGATAGATGTTGCCAAGTTGGCCTATTAGGAGGTTTACCAGTTTACACTTTTCCAATAGTACGCTAGATCGTCTGTTTTCCTATAGCCTTGTCAATCTTGCATAATCTAACTTTAAAACTATTTTATTTATTTGAGTTACTTTTTATGTCCATAAACAAAGTTTTACATTTTTACAAACATCTGAATTTTTGAATTACTTCACAAATTTTAGTAATATAAAATTAACCATTTTAAACTGAATAACTCTGTGTTTATGTTTTATGGGGGTTCCCCTAATGTCAATAATTTAAATAGCCATAGTGCAATAATCAAAAAGGAAATTAACATTGGTACAATGCTACTAACTAAACTATTGACTTATTCCAAATTTATCACCTTTCTTCCTAATGTTGTTTTTCTGTCCAGGGTCTGAGTCAGAATCCCACACTGTATTGAGTTGTATGTCTCCTTAATCCCCTCCAATCTGTGATAACTCTCAATCTTTCCTGCCTTTCATGACTTTGACACTTTTTATGAATTCATTATTTTGTAGGATGTCTTTCAATTTGGATTTATCTGGTATCGTCCCATGATAATATTGAGTTTACATATTTTGGCAAGAATACTACGAAAGTGAAGTGTCCTCCTCAGTGCGCAGTACCAGTGCCTAAGAAATCATATTTGTATGACTTCGGCTGTGATGTTTTGACACCTTTTTAAAACTTACTTTCCCATGAGTTCAGTTTTTCTGCTTGAAAGCTTAATTGCCCAGAGTTGGATAGGATGCTCTTAGACAACTTACAAAGTATAGTTGGCGTTCCTGTTAGAGTCGCTTTATTCTACCTTTTATACCATGTTTGTTCAGACTCTGGGCTCTGGTGTCAGTCTACCTGAGAGGCTGTGCCACACACAATCCTTGACTCTGACAACGTGACGTAAGCCTGCCTTGTCCCAAAGTTTCAGTTTCTTCTAATGATAATAGTACCTACCTTTTGACTTTAGGTATATATGTGGTGACATATGTAAAATACCTAGCAAACATCTTGGAACATAATGACAGTTTAATAAATATTAACTATACTTAGATGTATTAACTATCTTAGTTTTCTTTGATCATTACAATAATACTTTAAAAGTTGTCATTTGGGCCAGCCCGAGGTATGGTGGTTAAGGCAGCTGGATCCCACATGGCTGACTGCACGCTTTGAGCCCTGGACCTAGCAGGTTGAAAACCATGCCAGGCATGTGTATATTATGTGCCCAAAATCCCGAAAGGAGAAATGGAGAAGAGGTGACCATGACCATCATGACCATCCCCTCTGGGAGTGCTTTCTCACTTTCTTTCTCTGTGCGCAAGTGTTTTTCCAGTGAGTATATGTATATGTGCCCTATAGCAAATTAGAAAAAAGAATTGTAAGTTAGGTTTGCATTTTTTTTGGTGGTAGTTTATAGAGAGAGTTAGAGTTGTACATTCTGTTACCAAATTAACCAAGGTTTACTTAATATATCTCAGGGACGTGAGTGCATTAGGAATTGCATCTGCATGCTTGTAAACAAGACACCAAAATCTAGTGACATAAACAAACATAGCTATTTATTCTCTCACCTCAAAAAAAAAAAAAATCCAAAGACAAGAAGTCCAGAGCAAGGGTGGAGATTCCATAATGTCATCAGGGATCAAACCTCTTTTGTTTTCTCCTGTTCCCTCAATCTTAGTGCATACTGTCCTTTCTCAAGATCGGAGATAGTGACTAGGACTCCAGTGGTCATGTCTTAGTTGTAGACAAGACAAAGGGAAAATGCAACAGGCAGAAAGAGAGCCTCCTAGTTGACTTGCTTCTCTTTGAAAAGCTCTCCTGGAAGGTCCATTCATTATCTTCTATTTACATATCATCGACTACCCTTAGTTGCAAGGGAGGTCAGGAAATATATGCCTTTAGCT